ACACATGAGATCCTGGGTTCAATCTCCAGCACCTTCACTAAAATAAATAAATTAAACTCCCCCCAAAAAAAACCAAAACAAAAGCCTAAATTGGACTACATCACCCATCCCATCAAAACTCACTAAAAGGGTCACCATTTCATTAGAAGCCAAAGTTGCCACAAAGTCTTCCAGGACCCGGTGTGCTGTGCCTTTCCACCCACACTCTCTCCCTCACTCTGGGGGGCCTCTGGCTTCAGCTCTTCCTTATTCCTCCGGATCTATTCTGCTTCAAGTTCATTACTCCGTGAGATCTGCCAGGATTGCCTTATTCCCTCCTGCCTGCCTCTCACCCCACCACCATCACCTGAGTTTTCTCATATCACTCTTTTTTTTCCCCAAGCTCTTGCTACATCCAATATGCTGCCTGTTTTCTCTGCTAAAACTCTGAGCTCCCAGTGATGGGGAGTTGTGTCTGTTTTGTTGACTAATAAAGCCCAAGAGCCTTGGGAATGGGTCTAGTTACAAGATTTCCATACATAGTAGGAGCTTATACAGATTTGCTGAATGAATGCAGAGGCCCTGGTCCAATCCAATGGAGCACCTCTGTGTCCTGCTCAAAGAATAACTCTCCTTTCCCCCTGAGAGGGGGTGACCACTTCCTTGGTGATCAAAGGCAAGATCTTTTTGCTTTATGCTGTTAACCTTAGGCGGGAAGACTGGGGGATCTTCATATATATTTTAAAATTTGATTCAGTCTGCAGTTTGTCTTCTGTCTATGTATCCTTTTGAGAAACCATTTATGAGTGATCATTCTTCCATCAGATTCAACTGGGTCCAGGGGGAAGGACCAAGCCTGTCTCATTGGCCATCCTGTGTGTCATGTCCTGTGACCCAGTGGATGCTCAGCATGTAAGTGAACAGACAGGAGTGAGTGAAGAGATGGGAGCATCTCCTTATTGTGGTGGCTGCTCTCTGTCTGATGCCTTGAGATTTGGGGAAGGGTTTACAAGTGCAGAGGGGAGAGGACAGGGCCTCTGTGCTCTTCCTGAGTGTCCTGGCCTTATGCATTCCCCCATCTCTCTCTGGGCAGCCAAGCCCAGGAGCTGGGCCACTGGGGGCTGTGCTGATCAATAATCCACCTTCACCCCAAGTCCGGGGGTAGGAGCGGCCAGCACACCTGGTTGTAGGCTCTGGAGTCAGGTCCTTGGAGGAATTCTTCCCTGAATGATGTTTTGGGCCTTTTATTTTTCTCTATAGCCTCCAGCTGAAGAAGCAGATTGCCTTATATACATGAAAGGTGAGGACACCTACTATCCCCATGGAGCCCAGGTGGGGCTGGGAGTCTGCTGTTTGCACAGCCGGTGGGCTCGTGTTGCTTTGGGCATCTCTGTGCCTGAATTCTTGCAGTACACTCGGTGGTAAGAACGGGGGTGCCTGGCAGGGAGGGAAGTGGGTCGGGAGACTGCACAGCTGGGGGGACATTAACCTGGGGTGAGCGGGAGCTGGCTGATGCATGGAATCTCAGTGCAGGGAACTCTCCACACTCAGAGGGGTTCCCACTCCCGCAGGGGCCCTTTGATTAGGGTGCTGGTCTGTCAGCACAGCAGGGTCCCTGTGAGGATCATGGTGCCTTCAGGCAGTGGGAAGTGAGGGGTCCAGTGGCACTTAAATTAACTGTGCACCCAAAGCCAATCACTATCTCTTTCAGCCTGCTTCCTAATCTGCAAAACTGAAATGATGTTAACCAACCCACAGGTTCGGTGATGGGCTGGGACACACTAGACAGCCAGGAGCTGGAATTCCTCTGACCCCTTATTGTTTTCCTTCCTTCCCACTATTTGCTCTCACAAGCTCAGTCTCTCTGTCTCTCTCTCATTCACTTGTAACTTTCTCTCCTGCTCTGGTTTCATTTGATTCCCACCCTCCTCCCAATCCCCAGATGAGTGAAATTAATTTGTGTGTCAGTTCCAAATTCCCGGGAAAGATGCTCTGTCCCCTATGGACTGGTTGTCCAACCCATCAGTTGCAGCCAGAGGAGTGAGTCCCTCTGGGACCAGTGGAGGGGCTCTGCCAAGCCCCCCAGCCACCACTGTGGGAGCACATAGCTCTCTGAGGAGGAGGTACTGGCTGTGACTTGGTGTCACTAATTGTGAATTTATGTCTCCTCTTGTCCCACCTTCATCCTCCTAAACAAAGATGAAAATTAAACACTCCCAAGATTTGTGTCATGGAACACTCAGGGTGGAGGCTAAGAGGGCTGGATTCCCTGCTGAGTGTAAGGGGCTACAGTGACTCCCCAACGAGAGCCTGTAAAGGGAACAGCACCAGCCCCACTGGACACTTAGGGCGCTGAGTCTGCGTGACATTGAGCCAGGCTTCTGACCACAGCTCAGGGGTCTGGTCCAACCAGTTAGTCTTTGAAACCAACCAGCTTTGGATTTCTCAATCCCTCCCTGAGGTTTTACCTGAACCACCATCTTCTGTATCTCTGAAGACAGATGATGAGGACCTTTCATGTAAGCCATTTGCACAGCCCTGTGCGGGAATTTGTGCTGCACGGTCTGCCCAGCAAGCTGACCGAAGTTGGTAGTTTACTGATCTTAGAAATAGTCTGGTTTCCTGAAGCACTGTTTCACTGAACAAGC